GCTAAGAATGTAAATATCATTATAAATGAAGTTTTGAGGTATTACAAAGAACTGCTACCTAAACAGAATGAAACCTTGGCAAGAAAAGCTTAAAAACAAGGTTACATTACTGATGAGAACAATGAAAGAGATGTTCTATTTGATCCACAAGAGCATTAGGTCTTTCCAACGCTTTAGGTCTTTCATTTGAAACTCTAAGGTTTATTTTGTTAACTCTTACTACTCTCCTAAACATAATATACCTTTGCCGTTGAAAATGTTAAACTACTTTTATCTTTATGGATTAACAAGCAATTACACCAACTCTAGATATGTACATATCGAAGATTGAATTTGAAACACATTTTCAAATCTGAAAAAAAAAGAAAGAAATAACATGTAACTTTACTTATAATTATAAAAACTAGGTGATTTCCCCGTGTATACGCAGACAACTTACTTTTAATCTTAAATTTTGAAAATGTGAAAACATGTATTTGTTTTGATTTTTATAATTGACATTGGTGTTGAAATTTTTGTTGTTAAATTCTTTTGTCTACAATTTTTTTTGTTTGTTAATAATATGCATTTTCAAAAGTTTAGTTCTACTATTTTATTATTTCATAATTTTATTATTTTATATACGTACTCATGTTAAATCAATATGTATAATAATGTGTATAATAATTTACTATATTGGGGTGCACAATCTATTATAAAAATTTGAGTTCCCTCTCATAAAAGATTGAATCCCCTATTTGATCATATTTAAAAAAAAAACATTTCTTTCATATTGTATTTTAAAGGAAAATTTAATTGGTCATAGAATATTAAAATATTAATCTGAAAAACTCTTCTTAAACAAAAAAATAATAATTAATGTTTCCTACAACATAAAGCAAATACTCTACCATTTTTTTTTTCCAAACATTTGTTATTTTTAATTTTTCTTATGGGAATGTCTCTTACATTTTTTCTTATTTTGTTCAACAAAATCGATTTTTTTAATTATTATGTGATAATTAGGAAAACATAAGTTTTACATATTAAGTTTACTTAGATACCCATGTATATTTAGAATTATTTAGATCTACAATATCATCATAATCATAGAGTAAAACCATTTTAAAGAAATAAGATGTGAAGAAAGTAAATTAGTTGTTAGCTTG